ATGAACGAATGGCAACACTGGTTGGACCCATCACTACTCCAATACAAAATTATATATCACCCCTTTTTTTCATCTATTTCAGACAAGACAATTATTTAATGTATTTTATGTATAGCTCTTAAACGGTTCCGAAAAGCTAACTTTACCGCAGCGGTTTTTTTATTTAATAGCGGTAACGAGTGTCGGTGGAAAATTAAAGGAGTTTTTGATCTGCTGCTGCGTGAATACCTGGAAGTTCAAAAAAAAATGCAGCTGTTAAAAATGTTTTAGAAAAATATATGAAAAATCTGACTTAAATCAAAAGAAAACTAAATAGACTTAAATCTTTTTTAATTACTTAAATAATTTACAGGCTGAAGCCTTTTATAGACTTTTTTAGACTTAAATCGTTTCTAGATGACTTAAATCTTGTGTAGGTACTGATTTAAGCCTTTTATTAATGACTTAAGTTTTTTTTCTATTTCGGAAAAAATTACCTAAATTTTAAGTCTTAATTCAGCTTTCGAAAAATGACTTAAAATCAAATAACTTAAGTCATTAAAACGGTAGTTTTGATAACTTAAGTTATTTGATTTTAAGTCGAAAGCTGACTTAAATCAATTTAAATTAAAAACACGATCTAAGTTTTCTGGGATTTGTCCCTGGTTAAATGTCACATAGAGACCCTGTTTAAACCAATATATTGGAATGTATGGTGGTATTTTAAGCAGGGGTAGCTCTGGTAAATATTCCCGGACAACAATTCAAGAAAATATTAAATGTTAAAAAACTGTTAATTCAATTGTTAACATACTTTTTCTTTCAATCTACGAATGTGGCGCAAAAATAAATATCCAAACATGTCGGTGCACTGATGACATAAAAAATCATGTCGTGATAGCATAAAAAATCATGTCGTGATTTTTTATGCCATTGGTGTTTGGATATTTATTTTTGCGCCACATTCGTACATTGAGAGAAAAAGTATACCTACATATATGTATATTGAATCAACAGTTTTTGTGGTTAAATATATTCAATATTTTTTTGGATTTAAATTAATAGTTCATTTACATCCAAGAAAATATTAAATGTATTTAACCGCAAAAACTGTTAATTCAATTGTTAACATACATTTTCTCACAATGTACGAATGTGGCGCAAAAATAAATACCCAAACATGTCGGTGCACCGATGGCATACAAAATCATGTCGTGATTTTTTATGCCCAAACACCGACAGCATAAAAACTCATTTCGTGATTGTTTATGCCATCGGTGTTTGGATATTTATTTTTGCGCCACATTCGTACATTAAGAGAAAAAGTATACCTACATATATATATAATATAATATATATTGAATCAACAGTTTTTGTGGTTAAATACATTAAATATTTTCTTGGATTTAAATTAACTATATATAGTTAATTTAAATCCAAGAAAATATTAAATATTATATTGATAGCAATTCAGAACCAGATCTTGCAGTTGATAGTTTCAACAAAATACTTTATTCCTTGTTTGATGAATTTGTTCCACTATATAAAAACATTAAAACTTCCTAACCCTGTTGGTACACCAATGAAATAATTAATAATATTAAATTAAAAAACTATTATCATAGGAAATATAAAAAGCTAAATAGTGCCTTCTACTTTAATGAATTTAAACGTCTAAGATGCATAGTTAAAAACAAAATTACAATAGCGTACAAAATTTATCTTAACTCTATTGAATCCGAATTTAAAACAGACCCTAAGAGCTTTTGGCGTTATGTCCAATCAAAAAAAGGTACTTCCAGAATTCCCTTAAATATGCATTTTGAAGATAACAACTATGATGATGCTAGTCAAATAGTCAATGGCTTTGCCAAATATTTTGAGAGCGTTTATGAATATCCCAGTGCTGCTAATTTACCTACGTATATGTCTAGTCCGAATTGTATAGCTTTAAATTCTTTTAATGAAGATGACATTTTAAAATCCATTAAACTTTTAAAAAATAATTCTTGTTCTGGTCATGATCACATTCCTAGCTTTTTTATAAAAGATTGTGCGCAGATCTTGATTAAACCACTTCACACTATTTTTAATCTTATTCTTAAAACCTCAAAATTTCCAGAAATTTGGAAGATCACTAAAATTTCTCCAATATTTAAGAATGGTGATCCCAGTGACATAGGTAATTACAGACCTATAGCTATTCTATCCAACTTGTCTAAGGTCTTTGAGAAGACCCTGTATGCATGCATCTACAATGGCGTTTGTCAATCAATTTCACCTCACCAACATGGTTTTATGCATAAGCGCTCCACTGTTACTAATCTAATCGAGTTCACTCAATATGTCTCTAATAATATTGATAACAGAGGCCAAGTGGATGTCATCTACACGGACTTTTCCAAGGCTTTTGACAAGGTGGATCATGAATTATTATTAATCAAACTCTCATCAATTGGCCTAAGTTGCTCTCTAGTATCCCTTATGCATTCCTACCTTGTTAACCCTAAGCTCTTTGTAACCTACAATGGCTTTAGGTCTGATTTCTTCGTGTCGACTTCTGGAGTCCCTCAAGGCTCTAATCTAGGGCCCTTATTGTTTAATATTTTTATTAACGATTTGTCATTGGTAATTAATTGCCAACATTTACTTTTTGCTGATGACCTAAAATTATTTGCCAAAGTCGATTCAATGAATGATTGCCTATCTCTACAAACTGAGCTAAATCGGGTGTATGATTGGTGCATTTCCAACAAACTCAAACTTAATATTAAAAAATGCAAATACTGTTCCTATACTCTAAAGAGAACAAAAGTTACTTTTAATTATCAAATTAATAACGTTAACTTACAGCTAACTCAATGTGTTGATGATTTGGGCGTTACTTTTGATAGCAAGTTGTCATTTACTGATCATGTCAATCGTGTTGTTTCTAGTAGTTACAAGTTATTAGGTTTTATTAGCAGAAACTCTATCGGTTTTTCAAATCAATTTGCTTTGATATCTTTATATTTTTGCATCGTTCGATCAAAACTAGAGTATTGTTCCATTGTATGGAGTCCCTACTATAACAATTATATTGACATGCTCGAAGATGTTCAGCGTAAATTTCTTAAATTACTCGCTTTTCGTTTAGATAACATTTACCCCGCTAGAGGAATAAATCATCAACTTTTGTTAGATCGCTTTAATATGGATTCCCTTCAATGCAGGAGAGCTTGTTCCGGTCTTAAATTCTTATTTAAGCTTTTTAATAACCAAATTGATTCGGCCAATATTTTATTTCTATTTAATATTCATGTACCCAGATCTAATTCTCGATCTAGTGATATGTTCTACTCTGACAATGCACGAACAATAACCTTAATTAAATCACCAGTGTTTACCATGTCAAGAAATTATAACTGTATTAGTCATGACTGTGATTTGTTTTTTACTAGTTTAAATGTTATTATTAGGGTGGCAAGGACTTATTTTTAATTTTTTTTGTAGTTTAGTATTAGGTAGTTTTATTTTTAGTAAATGAAATGTAAACCTTATTTATATTTTTGTTCTGTTATTGGAGTTTTACTCCGTTGGGCAAATAAATGAATTATTATTATTATTATTAAATGTATTTAACCGCAAAAACTGTTGATTCAACATAATTTTTCTCTTAGTGAACGAACGTGGCACAAAAATGATTATCCAAACACCGTTGGCATAAAAAATCACGACATGATTTTTTAGACCATAGGTCAATCGCAAACAGCGATGGCATAAAAAATCACGACATGATTTTCATTTCTAGCGCAGTGACATCCGGATGATGTCCGTATGAATAAAATTTGTGAAAATCACGACGTGACGTTCGTATGATTTTCATTTATCACGCGGTGACTTCCGTATGATATCAGTATGAATAAAATTTATGAAAATCACGACATGATGTTCGTATGAATATCACGAATGTTGTCCGGGTTACTATATTTTATATTATTAATTTACCATGAATGAATTAATTTACCATGACTGAAGCACTCAGGTCAATGCAGGCTTGGAAAAAAACCGTGTTTTTACATAAAACCCAACCCACTGAGCTTTTTTTGGGTTTAATAAGTGGGTTTAAGAAAAAAAAATTAAAAAACCCAATTTAAAAAAAAATTGTATTATTGTATTTTAAGTGTAATTAAGTTGTAAAATAAATCGTTTAGTTCGTTAATAAACCAGTGCGTGTTTTATTTCACACTACGAACAGTAAAAACGCACCAGTATTTTATAATGATGAACAAATATCTATTATTATTATTATTATTATTATTAATATTAGAAAAATCAGCAGCGTTTATTATTTTAAATCTAGTTGAAATGCTCCAGTGCCACCTCTGGATTAAATTTAATTACATTTAATTAATCTCTATACCTACATATGTATTATTAAAAACCTGAAAAGTTTTATTAAATGCCAAGGAGTTTCTTAAATTTTTGAAAAAATAAATATTTTTATAATAATTTTACCCAAATGGGTAAAATTATTATAAAAATATTTGGTTTTGACCTAAGTACTAGTAGGTAGGTACTTACTTATGTCAAAACCAAAGTTTTAAAAGATACAAGTTTATATAAACTATTCTTATTATTTCTATTGACTACAGTTTCAGAGTTTAATTCGAAACATTTAGTATACTAAATTTTACCAATTAATATCTGAAACACCATTGTTTTTATTTTGTCATAAAATTAAATTAAAATTATTTCCACCTTTATAAAATATTGTGTTCATTTCTTTTATTTAATGTATACCTAGCCTAATAAAATTTCTTAAGAAAATTTTGACAATTTTGATGCCAAAATAATATACATATAATATCCTTGAATGACCTCCAATTTTTTTATAAAAACAGTTTTGTATAAATTTTTAAGAAAAATTTAACACAAACGTGAAAAAAATTGTACAAATAAATGGACACTGCATGGTAGGTACAAATTTTATAACAGTTTAAATAAATTTTGAACAAAATGTATTTTATTATAAACATTACCTGAGTAACAAGTTCCTTAATAAAATTCAAAGAAGAATTTCTACTTGGGCAAAGGGCTTGAGGACTGCCCACAACTTCCCTAATATTTGAAAATTCAGGGTGTTTCAGCACAAATTCAACATGTCCAAATGTTTGTATTAATGGGATTACATCTAATTTAGATTCTTCAGCCAAATCTAGGATCTCCTTGATTTGCTCTACAGTGTAGGCATTCTTTGCTGTTATATTCTTAAGAAAACCACTAAATGGAAACATATCCTCATATTCTAAAATTAATAAATAAATAAATTAGAACTTTTTTAATGTGTGTTTTAAATAATGTTAACCCATTAATATTCCAGTAGCACCCATAGTCTTAATTAAGGGAAACAGTCTTTTCAAATACGATATGCGTGGTGGTGCTCCTTTAAGATCAAAGTGTACAATTCTTTTACTTGGTACATAAGGGCGTTTACTATCTAAATTGACAAATGGTATGCCCAATTGTTGTTCAATTTCCAAACTTTCCACTTGATTTTTTACAGTCAAATCTTCTTTGTTTTGGTCCATGTTAGTTGATTCGGTGGGTTGGGCACTGTTACCTTTGAATCGATTGACTGTTTCAACAAATTTTACATTTATACTGCGAAGAAGCGCGTCTGCTATTACTTGAGCATCGCGTTCTTCTTTCATGTAATCATCTTTTTCAGGTACTCTTATAAAATTAACGCCAAATATTAGAAAAGCTAAAATACCACCCAACACTATAATAGTAGTTTTTCTCCTCCATACTGTAAACCCTATTCTTTGTAAATAGTTGTTCATTGTAGGACTTTTATTTAAAAGGTCCAGGACATTATTGATGTTTTTTATTATTCAATAGATAAAACTATTTATTATAAACACAATATTATTATCCACGTAAAGCTCTTTCTTTTCACTTGGTTTAATGGTGTTCCCTTAACATATTTTAATTAAACTTATTTGCTAAACTAACCCGATTTAAATGTTGTTTAAATCACAACACTTTAAAATAACAAAAGCGGATTTATACGGGACATTTTGTTTACGAATTAGGCAACTAAGGATGCATACAATGTATTTTGAGTTGTCTATTTTGTAAACAAAAATACTGGATTTAATTCATTAATGAATAAAAGTAAAACAGAAAGCTGTAAACTTATATGTTCATGCATATTAGTACTTCTACTTACATGTAGATGGCTCAACACATACACACTTACCAAGTATACTTATAAGCACAGGATTGTGCTTATAAGTATATGATTCAGTCACAGGATAAACATGTGTATCCTGATTCAGTGTGTGGTAAGTATATGAATTCAGTCATATACTTACCAGAGATAACCTATGTACTTACCAAGTAAGTATATGATTCAGTCACAGGATAAACATGTGTATCCTGATTCAGTCACATTTGTTCTGTGGTCACATACTTCCACACTTCCAATGCTTATTTGCTATGTCTTGTATAGATGACTTGTTTCCTTTTTTAAGGGGAAATATGTAGATTTGCCGTATAATTTTACCATATGCGCATAGTCAACTCATATATAAGTGGGGAATTTAAAATATATGATACCATAGACATATTAATACGTTCACGTATGATATGAATTGAGGAGTTGCATTCCAAAACTCGGCTTATCTACAATTTTTTTTAAATTTATTTATTAAACCCAAAAAGAATACATGATTCCACAGCAGGTACAATTTGTCGATTTGAGGTATGACCTTATCCCAAATCGACAAATTTATCCTCAAAAAAACCTTTTTCTTCGCAAAAAGAACATAAAGTTATGATTTTTAAGTTTCTCAGTCCTAATGGGCCCATCTGCTGCAGTAAATATGTTTTGCCCTTTGCTTGCCATGCGTGTCCTTAGAGTATCTGCCCGATCAAAAATATCATTCAGCTTATTATTCTAAAAGGGAATTTGCCAATGTAAAACTGTTGTCGCTTTTAACTAGATTTTTTTTTGTAATTCTGATTTGAAAGGTTAATACTGTTTTGAAACTGAAGATTTTCGTAAAACTGCATTTCTTTAACATTTTCTTTAAATGCTTTCCTTTTAGAAACCTGCTTTTTTCTTAACTTTCTTGCAATTTGTCTTTGTAAGGAGTGAGACTGGTAATGGATGCTTTAACAGCCCTAACATTCGGCTTAGTTTCTTTGGTTTTGTATTGTAATTTGTGGACAAATATCCTTGGGAGAAAAGTAGTTCTTTTTGAGGCTGATTTGCTGAGACTGGACTTGGTGTTCGATCATTTTAATTTTGGTTTTCCAGTGAAGCTTCTTGATTATTTAATTCTTCTGGAAAGTGTTTTTGAATAACTGTTTTGTTTTTTATCACATTATATATGCACGCCAAAATCATGATCTCTAAAGGTATGTCTGTTTAGACACTAGTCCGTTTTTCTAAAACCATTGCACGCCCAGACAGCAATATGACGTCTTAATTAAGTCTGCATAAGCTCTATTTTATGATTTGGACGTCAAATACAACATCAGAAAGAAGTTTTTAAGAAGTTCTTAAGACTTCGAATGCGCCACCTATTGAACTAATCAAGACTTCTCAAAAAAGAACTCTTGAGGAACCCTTTTCTTTGACTTCGCAATTAAGCATTTTAAAGAGTCCTACTGTATAAACTTATAAAAAGACTTCTTTAGAATTTTCCGTTTTGGATATAGAAGTACTACTAGGGTACTGATGAAGAAATTGCATACTGGATCGTTGCTTATTTTGACATGTCAAGTTTATTTTATTAATTTTATTAATTTGTGAAATTGATTTTATTAAAATCATTTTAATAATTTGCTCGTTTTCGCGTATTTTAGGAATTGCGATTACTTCGTCTCACTTTTGTTTAAATTCAAACGTGCTCTTCACCGGCATCGATAGACGGCCTGTTTCGCAATTAAGCATTTTAAAGAGTCCTACTGTATAAACTTATAAAAAGACTTCTTTAGAATTTTCCGTTTTGGATATAGAAGTACTACTAGGGTACTGATGAAGAAATTGCATACTGGATCGTTGCTTATTTTGACATGTCAAGTTTATTTTATTAATTTTATTAATTTGTGAAATTGATTTTATTAAAATCATTTTAATAATTTGCTCGTTTTCGCGTATTTTAGGAATTGCGATTACTTCGTCTCACTTTTGTTTAAATTCAAACGTGCTCTTCACCGGCATCGATAGACGGCCTGTTTCGCTCTTTTGGAGCTCGTCAGTATCGGATAGCCGGTTACCTAGGTCTAAGACCGTTTGGTATGGAGCACGCTCTAAATTCTACTTCGCCGCTTCTTATATCAAACACAAGCAGTTACAGCGGTGAGAAGAAAGTAATCGCATTAAAATGTCATAAATGTGACGTCTCCATGTTGACTTCTAAAAAAATTTAATAGTACACTATATCATATATGATTTCAATTGGAAGTAAGAAAAAAGAATACTCTGTAAGCTCAAAATAAATTGTTCAAAAAGAGGTCAAGAAAAGATCTTCATTTGTACGTAAAAAAATTGACTTATTATTTATGAGTTCATTAACAGCTCAGAATTCTAAGCTCATAAAAAGGACGTCATGTTAGAACTTCTACACGAAGTTGTTTAGAAGACTTCATACTGAAATCTTTCTGAATTGGATGCTGACTGGGCGATGTTATCATAGTGGCAGCTCTATTAATAAAGCTTTTTCTTCCCCTTATTCCACCAAAAAAGTGCAGCCTTTAGATGTTTCGTTTGTCGCATTTAAAAAGAATTTATGCGCAGGAGATAGAAAAAAGTACTATATCTCTATATTCAATTGCTAGTATTTTTGCAAAGCCTACAATATGGAGATATAGTTGTTCTCTTCGCATACATTCTTTTTAAAGGCAACAAACGAAACATCTAAAGGCTGCATTGTGTTGGTGGAATGAGGTGGGAGAAAAATCTATGAGTGAAATGTTTTTTGTCGGGGCTATTGTCCATCTAACACAAGTAGAGCTGGAAGTATATTACAGTTTATTATTTTATCATCTAGGTATTTCATTAGCTGCATTTTGGTAGGTATATATTTGATTTTTTGTGGGGGCAATGTTTTGATATTGGTTGCTATAAAGTTTAACTGCTGATTGACTTATTTTGTATCTCACGAGCTCGCTCATGAGATTTACATAAAAATAAACTAAATAATCAATGTTTAAGCTATCAACATAATCCTATTTGTTTCTTAAGTTTGGAAAGAAATTTAAATTTAAAATAGTCTATGGGATACCTACTTATCACTTCTACACAAGTTTAATTTTATATAGATTCTTTTAAAAATTCGTTTTTAAACTGGAGCAACGAAAGAGGATCATGTTGATGGGTTGAAAATTGATTATTAAAGTAAAATTTTTATGAAAATCTCATTTTAAATATCGTACTGCCAAGTTAATGAGAAACGCATTGCCTACCGTTACATTAAGTAAGGCGGAGTTTTTCCTATTATTGAAATTAACCAGTACAGTTTTATTTGTATTTAGTATTAGGCTATTTTTAAAACACCATTTCTGAAAGCACTTAATAGCTGAGGCAATGATATCTATCAGACCCTCCGGAGTCCGTGCTGAAACCAATATTGTTGTGTCGTCCGCATAGTTTATAAGGCAATGCCTAAACTGCAACTCATTTTTTATAAAGCCCTGTACTTCATTTATATATAAATTAAACAATAAAGGTCCCAGCACAGACCCCTGAGGTACGCCCCTTTTTACATTAAAGAGTTCGGAAAAAATCCATCCAACCGGACACACACACATCTCTAAACCCCAAAAAAATCATAATCACAAGTATCAAAAGCTCTCGATATGTTGAAGAAAACCGCAGCCGTCAAGTACCCCTAGTCCAGTTCCTTGAACACAAACTCTGTAAGTTGGAAAGTCGCAGTTTCCGTTGATGATTTACTAAATCTTGATCCCTCAAAGACAACAAAATTTCTTGGACTTCACCTAGATAGCGACTTAAATTGGATATCACATATCGATATAGTGGTTAATAAATTAAATAAAGCATTTTGTGCAATCTTAAGTTTAAAACATCTATGCCTCAATACTTGATTGTGGTGTATTATGCATTGGCTTATTCACATTTGAGTTACAACGTTTGTGTGTGGGCCCCACTGTGGGGTGGTTCTTCTTATTCTCATAGAGCATTTGTAGCTCAAAAGAGAATAATAAAAATCATTTATAATCTTAAAAACCAAGAGACTTGTCGAGATACCTTTAAAAACAATAATATTTTAACGCTGCCTTGTATTTACCATTACCATTGCTTAATTTTTGCCAAAAAGAATCTTGAATTGTTTGAAAAAAATTGTAAATATGTACTTTACTAGAAATGCTCAGTATACTAATTTATAGTAACATCCCATAAAAAACGAGTCCAAAAAATTGTTGATACAAAAATGTTTTTATAATCTAAGTGAGTAAATGTAGTTGGTGAAATATGTAAAATGTTTGTGTCTTATTTTTATTTTTAATATACCGTTGTAAAACCATTATTGTAATTCAGTCTGACATATATATACACCCTGTAACAGGAATTAAGTATGAATAAAAATTATTATTATTATTATTATTATTAATTCTGCCATTATAATAACATATTAACAATTTATATTGTTACTTATTAACTTTTAATGGTGTTTTTAGTTTTTAATGGGGCATTAATTTGTAATCAAATTTAACGTTTTATGTATACATTGGCACTGCTAAATTTGCTGTCACGGCCTAATGTTATTTATTTACTAAACCTTTTAATACTTCAAATTATCGTTTTGCAATTAAAGTAATTTGTTTTTTCATGAAAATTAGGCTAGGTAGGAGATACCCAAAAAATTTCTTTTCTTTTAAAAGTAGCTTATTTACTTTTCTTTTAAGTATAGTAGTTCAATTTTAATAAAAGTGTTTACAAAATTTTTCAGTAATTATGGTTAATTTTTTGGCTAATTACTTTAATCTAATATAATAACAAATAACAATGATATGTAAAAAGCCTCACCTGATTGGTCTTAATTATTTTTACAGACTTGAAGATCGAATACTTTAGTGGTGAGCGTTGACAATATTAAAGCTTAAATTATGAAATGCTTAAAGATAAAAAAAGTTTTTTTTAAATTGAGTATTTTTTAAACAGAAAAAAAGGTTGTGCTATATTGTATTAAGTTAATTTGACAATAAAGAACAATTTTTTTCTTAAAAATAAATTTTTTAGAGATTAAAAAAATTTAAAAAAGTGTTTTTGACTCTGTAAACAACCCCGAGCCTCCTGCGTGGCCTGGCCACTAGATAGACCACACTGGTTAAGGTACGGTTTCTTTGAAACGGCGGACGCATGCGGCTGACGCTCTGCGTCTGACGCAAGTCCCTGCCACAATGAAAATTAAATGTAATGGGTTTCTTTCGTGCGTCTGCCGCTATGCGTTCCGAGCTTCTGACGCAGAGCAGGACCAGTGGTTGCGACAGTACCTCTTCGAAAGCAGCCTAGTCGCAACCGCAGCAGAAGGTCCAGCGTTTTGTACTTTGTGAGTGATTTGTGTTTGTGAAAATATTATATATTATGGCCGATAACCAAGCGAAAGTAATATTTTCATTTACTGAAGACGAAAAATTAGTGGAACATGTATCCAAGTTCCCTTGTTTATTTGACTTGGCAAATTCCTCGTACAAAAACCAAGTAGTTAAGGATAATGCATGGAAAGAGGTTGCTGAGTATTTAAAAAGATCAGGTAAGGTATAATAAATAAACTATTATAAATTAAACACGTTATTTAAATTTATTATAATTTATTTAAAGGTATTAAGATGTAGATATATTTCTAGGTAGTTTTAGAAATATATTCATTTTGCCACACAACAAATCCATCGTCCCCATTAAAGTAATTCATAAATAAATCTCTTACAGAAAATCCATCAATATTTGCAAAACCTCCCTTTTTAGGCAAAGGAATAAAATTGTCAGATGGTGGTAGCTCAGAAGGATCAAATTCATAGTAAGGCTTATGTTGAGCTTCTAAATATGCATCTTTAAGTAAATTATGTAGACAGCATGCTACAATAATTAAATCATCTTCAAAGCAATGGGCGTGTAAAATATACGAAAAATTTGAGACAGTAAGCCAAATGAATTTTCAGAAACTCTCCTGGCCCTGGAAAGTCGATAATTAAAAATAGCTTTTTGTTTACTAGCACGTGCAGTTGGTCTGGAAAAGGGTTTCATCATATGTGTATGTAATCGGAATGCTTCATCACCCACTAAAAGAAAGGGCACCTCAATGTCTGAGTTTGGTAGGCTACAAGATGGTGGAAACATATTTCCACTTCTAAAATATTTTCCAATATTGCTCTTGTCAAAGATTCCACTGTCCCCTTCTTTACCATATGATCCAACTTCGTTTAATATGAATTTGTAGTTAGCATGAACAACTGCGAGTAATACCATGAAGAAAAAAATTTTATAGTTAAAATACAATGATCCAGTTCGCATGGGACAAAAAATTCGTATATGTTTACCATCTATAGCTCCGCAACAATTAGGAAAATGCCATTTTTCTTCAAATTCCTTGGCTTTCTTTTGCAAGTCTTCTTGTGTCATTGGTGGTAAAAAGATTGGCATTAATTTCTGGCGTAAAACTGAAAGTGTTGTTTGTATAATTCTGCTTATATAACTATGAGATATTCTAAAAGCAAATGCCAGTGAGTGATATGATTCGCCGGTCGCCATGAACCTGAAAAAAATTCATTTAATAATATCTGTTAGCTAAAAAAAATATAAATAACATAATTTACTTTTCGAATTAATGTTCAAATTTTTTGCAGTGGAAGATTGTAAGAAAAGATGGCGAAACATTAAGGACACTTATATAAAAAGAAAAAAAAAAGGAAAGGGAGCAACTGGTTCTGCAACCACTAAATCAAAGCCTTGGCCCTTGTTTGAAATGTTGTCTTTTCTAGAAACTGTGGATCATAAACGATTGTAAGTACATTAATAGATTTTTGATTGTTTATAATAAATAGTGCACTTTTTATTGCAGAAGCATTTCAAACATTGAACAAAGAGAAAGTCAACATAAAGAGGAAACTGCTGCTTCTGAAAATTTTGAAATGATTGAAGAAACCCTAGATTCACATCAGATGTTGGATGATACAGAGTTCACCTCTCAAGTACCTAGTTTTACTTCAAAACGGAATCCTCCAAATAATAGTTTAGATTCACAGCGAAGTAAGAAAAAAAAGTTTAATGACAACTTTAATAGAATTATGGAGGAGAGGCAAAAAGAACGAGGCGAAATCATAAATGCATTGGTAAAAAATGATGATGAAATAGATATGTTTTTTAAAAGTATTGCTATGTCCGTGAAAAAACTTAATCGGGATATCCAAAACGAAGCTAAATTGCAAACTTTAAAAATGGTTATTGATTTGGAAAAACGTAATAACTCACCTATTACCGAGTTCCCGCAGTAGCATGTTTTGTTCGCCTTCACCACCACCGCAAGTTAGGCCAGCAACTTCAAACATACCAGATTTTTTTGGTTTTAATCAGTATGAAAGTTTATGATGTATTTTTATTACCTACCTGTGTAAATATTCTAATTTTGAATAAAAAAATAATACTTACCGCAAAGTAACAGCTAATTTTTCATCCGGGGTTATAGGATAGGGATATTTATTTGTCGAATTTTTTCTTAAATCTTTTTTTATTATATCTAAAATATAATTAAATTCAGCTATGTTCAGTCTAAAAAATTCTCGAAATTTTTTCTCATCTTTTTATAAATGTTCATTTATCAAGATGTTAAAAATCCCTCTTCATTTCTTCTCTTAAACATTGGAGAACCACTTGAAAAGTGTCCGCATCACCTTTCAACCAAAGATCGCACACGGCTGACGTACGAGAGAAAATATAAAAATGCGGACGCATGCGTCAGCTGCATGCGTCCGCCGTTTCAAAGGAACCGTACCTTTATTGTTTAAATTAAGCAAGCTTGAGCACAATTCCGCGCGCGTTTTATTGGTCTTTTTTATAACATAGGTCATGGGGGACGCAAAATTCAAATCTTGCCAGGGGTGCTCATGTCGCAGAATTTGAGTTTTCAGTTTATTTTTTGAGATAGGTATGTATATTATTAAGAATGCAAAAACATGACAGCATTTTTATGCACTTGTATGTATAAAAATAAATATATATTTTAAAGTCTTGGATAAAATTCAGGCTACACATTACTGAAAAATATTTTTTTGCTAAGTTTACTTGAAGAGTATTAAAAATAAAGAGAAAAAGTTCTACCTATAGGTAGTTGCAAAATGCACTTCGTACTATATCAAACAGGTAAGTGCCATCCCCTCTACTGCAAATCACCTATCCGTAGGTACGTTGAAAACGTAGCCGCTTTATCTGTTCTATGGTCGACAGTCTCGATTTGAACCTTATCGCGCGTGTTCTCTTTCACAGGAATTCACGTTGCCACACGCGAGTAACAAGTGTCTGTTAAAAATAACACAAGCAAAATGACCCCTCAGTGCACTACCGCCACGTATTACAACACAAAAGAACCCCTAATTTCGCAACTGGGTGCCAATAACGTTAGTGTGGTGAACAGCAAACAAAAAAATAAGAAATTAGTCAAAGACAAAGGAAAAAACATTAAGTGTGTGATAGTAGGTGATAGATGTGTGGGAAAAACAGCCCTGGCTGTTTCTTACAGCAACGACACATTTCCCAGAAAATATATACCAACAGTTTACGATAAATATAACGGTAAGTCGGATTAAAAAGCCCATGTTAATCAAAATGTTCTTATCTAAAATACAGCTAAGTGTGTGCATAATATGCATATATTGCAAACATACTTTGCCCTTTATAAATAAAAATTAAATTTAAGATTGTTTATTCATACCCAAAAAAAATAAGGACCTTCTCGATGATTTAAGATTATTTATTTGGAAACCCACATTAATATTAAAAAATGTAATTAGATGCAACATTAATAAAGTGTCTAGGTATCTTGATATAAATCGTTTTTAGAAAGAAATAGTATTTATAAAATTATTAAAAATAATTAACACAAAAATAAGGATTAAATCCATCCTTTCTATTAATTATACATCTCCCACACCTAACGCTAAAAATTTAAAACATTAATATCAATTGATGCGCTTATCTATTTTTTTTATCGAAAAACAACAATTAAATAATCTAAAAGTCTAAACTTAACGTTTTAATCTATTATTTATAATTGCAAGGAAAAATCCATCCATCATAAAAGTCAACAATAATAATTATTAACAATTATTGTTAACACTGGTATTCCAAGTTTTTTGACAATTACTTTCTTACCTTATTTTAAATACGTACTTAATTCTAGTATTGTTGACTCACATAAAGGCTAATTTTTGTAGTATTGCAATTGGTTGTTATATACAAGAACTTGGTTATATCAGTGATTGTGATTTGTTATCATTTTTCTTTATAATTAATTTTAGCTATTCTGTTTATAATAGTTATTTCTGTACCAAGGCCCGAAAAGTGATTTTTTTCTGGACGAGTCTGTTTTAATGGCCGAGGACAAAATAACACTTCAGCAGTGCTGCACACAAACTTTTTAGGCGAGCCTCATTATAATCATTTTATTTATGATTTATTGGCATAATTATCAATAAAACGCACAATATTGAAAGCAAACGAAAAAGTGTTATTTTTTGGCCGCATTTGAGTATTAAAAATCAACTTTTTTGTCAATGTCGACTATAAATATTTTTGTTTAAAGATTGCAAGATTTATTATTTATCTTTGTACACAACAAATAGGTCATATACATAGGTATACGTGATAGAATTGATTATTATCTTAATTTTATCAAACCACATCAGACATTTTTAATCTTTTTTCTTGTTAGCAAACACAGTTTTCTTAATCACGTTTCAGTTTCATTATCAAAGGGAATCAAGTTACCTAAAGCGCCATACTACATGATACATTTTGATGAATTCTCTGAATAACATTATTTTTAACACTTTACTAGAGTTATTTAACATGCATAATTGTAACCAATAATGAAGTTCGCCTTTGGAATTTTAAAAATTTTCGTCGATCTATCGTGGGAATGATTTAACTTTCAAACCCGGGAAAAAAAAATTATATATAATCATATATAATTATATATAATTATGTATGATCATATATAAAATAATGTATGGACATATATGATTATATATGATTATTTATTTACGTATAATTGGCTTTTATATATGGTTGTATATAAATATCTATAAACATGTAGAAACATACATGGTCATACACACTTATATATATTTAAATTTATTTTAGATGAAGAACGTTTACATTTATAATATATGAACATATATAGTCATATATATGTATGTATATGTATATATTATTATATGTGATGTAATATTATTTATTTTGGATGCAAAATACATTGATGTATATATCCAGGATACTTAATATTTATAATATATGACTATATATGTACATATAGGGTCATACAAAGTATATATATATATGAACATATCTGGTATAGTGATGTTAAATTTGATGACAATACCATATGGTAATGTAACATTGTTTTTTTAACGTTAAACGGTAAAAAAATTCCTGCAAAATTTTAGGTCAATCGGTCAAAGGGAACACGTGCCCCACAGGGGTTTTTTAATAAATAATTGAGAAAATTCGGAAGGCTGTTATAACTCCGAAACGGTCCATGGTAGGAAAAAAAAGTGTATATAAATTTTATGTGTTTTTTTTAGATAAACAACTTTCGTGATAACAGTCCTGCGTTAAAAAAATTTATTCGGGGTCAAAACGCGATAAAACGCTTTTTTGTACTTTAGCGCTACCTACTTTTTGAATTTTCTGTCCTAGAGCATCGACTCAATGACATAAATTGTAGGGGACAATGCACCCTACATTTTTTGTTGACAAAATTTTTTTCTTAAACTAACCGATTTTGAAAAAAATTAAATCCAAAACTTTTTGAGTTTTCACCAAAAACACGTTGTGCTCCGAAACTCCGAAACGGTTTATCGTAGGAAAAAAAAGTTAAAATATATTTTGTAGTTTTTTTCAAGCTAATCAACTTTCCTATATATCAACGTAACCATCAACATTACCATCATTGTGAACGGATACACGCATATTTTCATGCTTTGGGTATTAACATTAACATTACTATTAACATTAACACTTTTGTAAGGTATAATAATAGTGCTGCGTTAAAAAAAAATCGAGTTCAAAAAGCGATACAACGCTTTTTTTGGTACTTTGGCCCTACCTACTTCTGAAATTTTTTGTTCTAGAACATCGACTCAATAACATAAATTGTAGGGACTACATTTTTTGATTAAAAATTTTTTTCTAATCGTTTTTGAGAAAAATAAAATATAAAAAAACAAATATTGAGTTTTCTCCTTAATCCGGTGTAGGATAACGCAGTTGAGTTTAGGCTATTATTATATATGCATTTATGATCATGATCATATATAATTTTATTATATATGATCATGTATGAATTTTGGTCCCTATATATTCATATATAATTATATATGATCATACGTGGACCAAAATTCATGTATGGTCATACATGGGCAAAATTCATACATGATCATATATAATGAAATTATATATAATGATATATTATTATATATAATTTTTTTTTCCCGGGAACGGTTTAATTTATTAAAGAAAAAAGTAAAATAGTGTTAAATGTAGGTAAAATAGGTTCATTGGTAAGATTTAAGTTTTTTGATTCAAAATTAACATCTTGGGTTTGCTAAGAAATATAAGTAAAATTATATTGTGAGACCAGTGGGAGAAAGAGGAAATTCCGCAAGCGTGTGGAACACAGACCACCATGGTCTGTGGTGTGGAATCTCCTCTTTTGACGATGGTCAATATTGCAATATTCGCATACAATATTTTCATCAACAACAAGGTAAAGTAAAATTTTGCTCACCGGTTCATGTTAAGAACTGAAATGGGTTTAAATAAAAATGGTTCAAGTGCATTTCGAATTGTTTAACACTAACAAGTAGGTATTTCTTAAGAGTAAAATTTACTTAAATAGATTGTAATGATTGACATGTTGAATATACTTCCTAATTTTTCGTGACTTTAAATTTCCTAAAAAATCAAATTGATTTCAACTTGCTCATAAAGTTCATTGCAATTTGCAATCACTTATTTCACGCCTCCTTTTGCTTATTTTTAAAGGTCTTACTTAAGGCTACAACCTTGCAGAAATTATTTCCCTAAATAGAAAGAACGATTTCCTGACTTGAGTTTCGCCATATATGGAACAACAATGGCGTTCGCCAAGCTCGAGAACAAATCTTGCCATGCAACTTTATCAGATGCCAAAGTTGTTCGGTAAATAGTGGAATTATGCAAACTAGTTAAATAATGTTAAAGCCTGTTTGTTTTGCACCTGCCTATTTTACTGAATTATTAACAAAGATTTTTAAAAATTCTTCACGAATAATTTTTTTTACCATCATAAAGTATCTTAACATTTTCTTCTATTTATAAAGATATTTAACTTAATATAATTTTCTACTTTTAAGTAGTTCTGTCTTTGGGGCATTACAAATTTAAATTAATCTTATAGGCGTGCGAATTTCAAATTCAATTAAAGTTCACTTGCCGACTCACTTAACCTCCGACATTTTGAACTCTATCACGATCTTAAAGGCACCTCGATGTAATTCATTAAGCCCATTAACTCATCTAGGCACCGTCACTTAGTTCATTTAGGTTGTTGCATTTGTTTTTGTCCCATTTTTGGTTAATTTTGTTTTATGTCTTTTTCTGCTCAGAGTTTTATTATGAACCAGTATTAATTGGAGCTAATAAAGGAGACGTGATGAAATTAAAAGATTTTTTATCAAGAACATGTAAAATACATTCAAAAAATTGTATTATATGTTATTGGATATTTTAAAATATAGTAAATGATAAATTATGTAACAGAACAAAACTCGAAAGCATATCTAATTTAATTTCTGTGGGTATTTTAAATAAAAGTAGGACATCGCTTAGCGTTCTAGTTTACGAAAATCGTTCCTCGGCCATTAAAAATACATATTTGTTAGTAGAACAAGAGACATATCTTGCAATAAGTACTATTATAATAATGCAATTTTTTCATTAGTTATTTGAATAGTGAAAATCGAAAAGTGAAAGTTTATTATTTTGGTAGTGTTTATTATGTTAGTGATGACAATACTGCTTTGACTCCTGACTATATTTCAGATATACATATTACTGCATTTTCTGAGGAGGTTATATTACGGAGTATTTCTAAACTAAAAAACAATTATTCATGTGGTGCTGACCTCATCCCTAACTTCATAATAAAAGATTGTTCATTAATATTTGCTTATCCTTTCCTTATATTGTTCAATATGATTTTGTCAACGTCTACTTTTCCAGATTTATGAAAAATAACCAGACTTTGCCCTATTTTAAAATCAGGTAATCCTAGCGATATTAAAAACTATAGGCCTATAGCAATTCTGTCTAATCTTGCGAAAGTCTTTGAATCATCCCTGTATACCTGCATCTACAACGAAGTAAGTAAACTAATTTCCTTGCAGCAGCATGGATTTATGAATAAACGCTCGACTGTACCCAACTTAGCTGAATTCACGCAATTTGTTTCAGGACAACTTGACAAAAAACTTCAAGTAGACGGATTTTTCAAAGGCTTTTGACAGGGTCGATTACAAAGTTTTGCTTAATAA